CGCCGCGGGGCTGCCCGGCCCAGTGCCTGCACAGAAGACGCGGGGCGCCTCGAGGCGCGGCGGAAAGACGCCGGTAAACACAGACGGCCAGGGACAGTGGAGGCACCACACGTTCAGCCCCTCGCCGAAGGTGGCTCCTTTATGGACGGCTCACCGCGAGACAGGATCTGAATAGACACCTAAGGGGCCCGGCCGTGAATGGGGTGACTCGCGATGACGTCACAGGCGCCGGCCGGAGCGGGGGACCCCCCCCCCGGGTGCGGGACAAGAACGCGCACGGTTTACAACCGCGTGATGCGCCCCGAGTGCGGCGGGGCCGGGTGAGGGGCGGCAGGGTGGCCGGGACGGAGGGGAGGGCGGGGACGGAGGGGCGCCGGCCCGGGCGCCGAGCAGCTCCGCGGCCTGCGCTGGTGGTGGTTGTGCGCCTGCGCCCGGGCCCGGGCCGCCCGTTGCCGCGTGTCCAGCTGTCATCCGGTCCCCAGCCCGGCTCGCGGTCCGCACCGGACCCCGCCGGCAGCCCGGGCCGGCGCCGCGTCGGGGACGCGCCGGCAAAGGGAGGCCGGGTTCCCACCTGGGCCTCGGTGGGTGAAAGGCTTCAGGCCCGGACACGCCCCGAGATCAGGCCTCTCCTCACAGCTGGACCAGTTCGGAATAACCACACCTTATCCCCACACACGTTTGCACGGGACACCTGTGGCTGCCCGGTCCTGTAAACCATTCGACGGGAGCCTTGAGAATGTTAGCTGCGCCTCCAGATCGCACCAGGCTTTTCCATCTGAAAACAGACCAGACAAAATCCAGGACTACAGTTACGAGGCAAAACCTTTCTGAACATGTGCACTAGGCATTAGAACTCAATGACAGGCAAAGGTCATAGAAATTTGGCGGAGTGAATCATGCAAAAACCAGAATGTTGCAGCAAAGCTTTGGGGGGTGGTTTTTGTGAAGGCTTGGTACATGAGACTGAGAATAGCTTCCGCTGTAAATAACTATAGGGCTGGAAATTGTGAGGACACGTGGATACATTGTGTCATACCCTAAAACCTGTGAAAGGCTGAACTAAAAAGTAATACACTAATTTACTCCATAGAAGAACTTACAAAGCTGAGCACTTAAGACTATTATGCGAATCTATTGGCTGCTTTTAGTCAGATTTACAGTGAGACTTGAATTAATGATAATAACAATCAAAATAGAAAGATTTGGAAACTTGGCAGCTTTGCCAGGGAAATGAAAAGGCTTGTTCATGAGAGGAGGAAGGAGGCCTTGCCCCACTACGAACAAAGTGGCCTTCAGGGATAGAGCGTTTTTAGAGACCAAGCTGACCACTTTTGAACTCAGCGCCTAGCACCGCCTCAGCATTTCTCTGGCTGCTTTCATCTGACAAAGCGCAGCTACAACCATAGTTCAAGTGTAAAGCTCACAAGGAAGCGCCTCTGGGCTCCATGGCAGATAGAACACAAAAGTGGCAGGGTTACTGCAGTTTCCACCCACCCTGAGTGCAAAAGAAAGCCTAGGAGCCAGGCAGACATTTACCACAGTATCAAAGTACCCTTAGCTGCAAATGCACAGTGGAGCCAGAAAGGTTGGCAACCAGCTTTCCAGCATCTGCCACAGAGAGCTGAGGTCTGTCAAAAGGATCTGAAGGGAGCAGCTTCTGGGCTTTAAACTTGCACCTCTCAGAGCAGTGCTCCATGCAGCATCTAGGAGCACTGTCCCCACCAGGAGGAGGCCAGACATTAGCCCTAAAAGTTAATGTCTGCCCTTGATTTGGGCTGATGATTCTCAGTTTCTTTCTCCCCTCTGAAACCGCAGAGCTAGTGCTGTGTCTGTGCTGCTGTTGTATCTTGGACAGAGGTAACCTGGTTTTGACTTTTTGAGGACTCTGCACCAGAAAACATTACCCAGAGAACAATTCTGAACCATGTTGCGATGCTGGGGCTTTTTGTTTGGAGTAACTGTATGCTGCTACGGGGACCCGATGTGGGGGGAAGTTAGGGAATCTGCTGTCGTTTAAATATGGTTTGTCACTTCCAAAGCTCCTATTAGGGTTTCATCCCCATCCATCTCTAAGTATTTGGAGAGTGGGCATCTAACCTGACTCTGGCGCTTAGCGTGTTTGGGTGCTTTTGAGAAGTGGTTAGGGTTCAATGAGGTCAACAGGCTTGGACCCCATGGGATGAATACGGTAAGTATTAATGGCTTGACAGGAGTGGGGGAGGAGAAAGATGGGGGGCTGAAACACGCGCGTGCGCACACACACACACACACACCTTCCTCTTTTTGTCTTCCACTGCCCTGTGCTGCCCTGGGACCCTGCCTGCAAGAAGTCCCTGAAGACCCAGGTGTAACCTGTGGGCCTTGGACCTTAAGAACACAAGTCGAATTTTACCTCTTTATAGGACCTTACCCAGTGGTGGCATTGTGGTCTTAGCAACCCAAAATAGCTTAAGACACATCCTCAGGGGGAAGGATGCAAAAACACTTTTTTCTGTTGAACTGCCAAGAGAAGCGCTGTAATCCCGAGGATGGACTTATGGGTTCCCATTCCCGGTCAAGTGTCAACACCTGAAAGTGTTTCCCTCTACACTCCACTCCCGCGCTGTCCCCGGGCACTTGTAACCTGGGGAAATGAAGTCTTTGCAATTGAACGTAGTGAGGAGACATCTGGTTAAGTTTAGAGATGCATGATTCCACTGAGGTGGCCAATAGTCTATGAACTGAGAAAAACTCTAAATGGAATGTTTCTTATTCTTCTACATGCATTTACAAAAGACTATCTTTCTTTCCCTCAAGACATGTCTTAATGATAGTTTTGATGCAGTCACCAAGATGTATTGTACTCATAAACATACATGTTGTTGAACCTCTTTTGTACAACTGAAGATAATACAAAGGAAATTAGGTGATCCCTGATTGGATTGATTTCCAGCCCTGTGGGTGTAATGCTAACATTTAGCCACCAGATGGTAATGTATCCCTGAGTGTTTTAGAACAATACTCATGTTTGGTACACATCGGATCCAGCTTAGAGGGGCACGAGGGGCCTCTGGGACATCAATGCTCCAATGGAGTGCATTTTGTAGGAACCTCTTTGTAGTCTGCCTGTGCACAGTCCACCAGCGAACCCCCTCTGCAGCTCCCGTCCACCCACCCACCCCCTTTCTGCAATGGTGCCTGGAGTCGTGGCCAGGGGGCAGCAGTTTGCTCCTACCTCCACGCTTCCCCTCCAACTGGTGTGAAGCCAGAGGGAGAGGGGGATGCCTGTCCCAGGAACACCCATTTCACTCAGAAAGCCGGAGGAAACGAATAGAATTCGCGTACAATTCAAAACTCCGTATTTAAATTTAAAGATCTGTGGTGCTGCACAGCCCACTCTCTTCACAGGAAAATAGGCCCGCACAGCCTTGGGATGGAGAGGTATGTGACCAATGGTAAAATCTTGCTGCGGAAGAATCTTCCTGCGGCTCTCAGGTGGAGAAGGGTCCGGGAAGGGTATGCTCAGAGCTGCCCCAGGCTGAGGTGGAGGTGGGCAAAAGAGAAGGGAGTTCTGGGCAAGGGTGCAGGTGCTAGTCTGTGCCCTATGAAGGTGAGGAAGGAACCTACAGCCAATAAGAGTCCACAAGTGACTCACTTGCCCGTACTTGCACAGGAGATCAGAGGACACCAGGACACTGGTGCCTGGGACTGGAGATTGGGTCTCCACACTGTGGGATGAGCCACTTCATTACTGCCCTGGGGGACATTGAGAACTGTTCTATGTGGGCCGCTGAGCGGGACCTTTCCATGGACCCAAAGAACAGCCAAGAGGAAGAAAGGCCGGCAGTTGCACTGCTGCACAGTGACAATGGAAAGTGGAAGGCTGGAACTATGCATCTTCCATGTAGTCTCTCTGAGAACCACCAAGCTACAGAAGCTCAAAGACGTCTGGAACAGTCCCTACTGGCAGCCCAGCAACCAGGGGACCCTCCACGGAGACAGACACAGGAGGGAGGCGGAAGCCATGAGCCTTAGCTTGAACTCTGAGGCCTTTCCCCTGTGTGAGGTCTTACAATGGAAGCAAAGCTGCCGCACTTGGACTGAAACTGCACATATGTGTATGCAGTCACAAAGAACATCCAGGAACCCCTGGTTGCTGGGTGAGGCCTGTCTGCCTTTGTTCTCACATTGCTTCAACCATTTTGAGTGTTGTACTTGTCTTGCCCTATGGTTCCTCTCGTCTACAAATCAGAAAAAGGCCACTTTATCTTCAGCTGCATCCCTCCATCATAGAACTGTAACGCATTCAGCTGCCTGCTCTCCCTGTTTTACTAAAACTGTCATTTCTGAACCCAATAACCGATCATCCAGTCTTCTCTTTTTAATTATTTTTTAAAAATTGTTATGTGATGTACAGAGGGGTTACAGCCAGGAGGAAGGAGCACACTCCTTTTTGGACAATGTCACCCCTTCCCTTCTTCTCTCCCAGTTTGTCCCTCCCATCTCCACCCACAAGTTGTACAGTTCATTTTCAGCATAGTGTCTACTGAGTACCACTGCTGCCTGTAATCTTCTCTTGGGAATCACAGTTTCATGCCCTTCCAAGAGCCCTGCTTCTCCCAATTTATACCACCCTACACTACCAATGAATCTCCTAGCCCTCTCCTCTCCTACCCCTGTTTTCCCCATCCCTTAATCTCTCTCCCTGAACACCTAGGAACCAGACTACCTGAATATCACCTGGGTTTTTTCGTTGTTGTTGTTCTCCTTTATTTGTTGTGGTTTCTTGTTTTTCATTTTTCTGTTTTCTGCCTCTGTTTACCTTATTAATCTATTTACCTGATTAATCTGTTTACCTTTCTCC